GACTACTTCGGACTGATGAGAGTCGCTCTCCCTGACTGTTGCTCTCTCATTTTTGCTGTCATTTCCGAGTTAAGGAACGCTTTTTGGACTAAATCTGACTACTTCGGACTTTTTCTGACTATTTCTGGGAGATAAGGAACGCGCATATTATTAATATTAATTCTGGTTCCCAAGTAAATGAAATTCTCTACTTTCTCGAAATTGTAACTGTCAACAGTGACGTGGGTGTCAAGGCGCGAATGTGCTGACTGTTTGTTCGATGACAGGAGATACTTCGTCTTGTCATCGTTTACCACCAAGAATGATAGAGTACAAGATTGCGCCGTCCTGGGCGTTGACATTTGTGTACCACAAGTAAATAGAGCGAAAAGAAGAACGAGCGAAAAACGTGTTTTAATTTAGCTAAATGCGAAAATATTGAATTTTTCACCTAATCTATTAGAGAACAGTGAACATTTAGTGCACTCCATTGCTTTGCAATTAAGGCTGTTGCAGAAAACTGCAGCAGCATCTCTGCGGGATTGATTAGTTAACTTGCTAATGGAGGCTGCGTGGAGAAGAAATAAAATCATTGTGAGGAAATGCTGTTAATATAATAATAGAGAAACATTTCGGGAACGGCATTGCCGTGCCCTATGTACACAAAATGCAGCGATTCGTCCCAGCGCTACACTTGCACCTACGCTTCTTGCATCTTGGGGGCTGTCGCAATTTAACACACAGCACTTCATTGTATTAGTTTTTACGCAGTCAACTCAAAAATCAATCACAAATTGCAAGTTAACACAATTTAAACTGATTTTTCACTTATAGTTCAAATTTCTCTTTCGCTGATTTGTAAACAAAGGTTTATTTACAAGTTACCACAATTGTCAAAATCGGCAAAACCAAAGTAGCGGTATCACTGACGGCGCCACCTTTGTTCGCTGCACCGAGGTTTACCACGAGACCCACTCGCTTTGCTTCTTTATCAAACTTGGAAAAGGTAGAACAGACTTCTCGATTTTTATTATCGATGATGTCGATGTCATCGGCATAAGCCAGAAATTACACGCTCTTGTAGTAAATTGTTCCTGAGCAGTTCAGTTCTGCAGCTCTTATTAGGGAAAGGGAGTCGCCCTGTCTGAAGAAAATGGCTCCAAGAAGTTTTTTTTCTCTCCAGTAAAATTTTCAAAAGAGGGCTTAGCAAGATTTCACTCCAAGCTAGCGATATGTCTTCGATTTATTCTCAAGCGTTCGAACGTACAGTTCATATGTTTATTTGGTTTTAATATTCACAATGTTTTTTTCGAGTAAATTTTGGTTGTACATTTTTTATAAACCATATTATCCATGCTTTAATAAAAATTTCAAACTTTTTACAAAATTTTACAAATTTTCAGCAAACGACGAAGTTTTTAATCTGAATATTTAGAAGATTTTTGAAGCACAACAACATGCAAGTTTCAAGCGGTTAAAAATTCTCATTGATTTTTAATAATTTTTGTTTTGTTGGCCACATTTTGTACATTTATGGAAGAAAATGTACATTTATGGAAGAAAATGCGGAAGACCGTTTGCAAAATGACAAATCGCACTTGTTACATGAAAAAAATGGAAAAAACGAAGACCTGTTGCTTCAAACATGCACTTTGTTCTACTAAAATTTCATGGGCTATAAAACGCCATACCCATTTTTACACCCCAGCACACTTGTGCACAAGGGTATTATAACTTTGTTCACATAACGGTTGTTTGTAACAGACAAAACGAATCGAGATAGATGTAAACAAATGTATACATAAATGATCAGAATGAACAGAGAAATCGATTAAGCGATGACTGTCTGCCAGTCCGTCCGTCTGTACACACGATAACTCGAGTAAAAATTGAGTTATCTCAACGTGAACTTCTTTCGGGCGTAGTATGGACGGTATTGAAAATGGAAAAAATCGGATAACAACCACGCCGACCTCCCATATAACGGTAATTTTCAGAAATATGAAAACTGCGATATTTTAGTAACTACTGAAGATAATTCACTCAAAATGGATATTTACAATAATTTTTGGACGAAAAATTAGAATATAATAAATTTTTGGAAAATGAGCGTAGCCACGCCCACTTATGGTTACATGTGTATATCTTGGTAACCGCTGCACCAATTTCTTCAAACACAGTTATTAGCCTTACTGCAGCATACCAAATGGCCGAAAATTTTAAAATCGGACAATAACCACGCCCACATCCCATATAACGGTAATTTGGAGAAATACGAAATCTTAGATAAATCAGTAAATATTAAAGCTAATTTATTCAAAATTGATGCTTGCAACAATTCTTCAGCAAGAAATACGTTTATGACAAAATTTTGCAAAACGGGTGTGGCACCGCCCACTTATGATCACATATATGTATCTCGGTAACCATTCTACCAATTTGTAATAAACTCAGTGCGGTTATTGTACTTGCCACATAAAAGCAAAACGTTGAAAATTATTGAAAACGGACTAAAATTGAGGCCGCTTTTCATATAACGGTAAATTTCAGAACTGCTTGAAACTTCAAAATTTCGAAATTTAAGGACTCTAATTTACTCAAAATTGATCGCCCCATCTTACCATGTAGCGGTAGCTTTCCGAAAGGTGAAAGTCATATATTAAATACTTGCGCCGGTTATTTAATGTTCGGCTCCGCCCGAACTTAAGGTGCTGGCCCAATGCAGGCTTGCTTTGCTTGCTTCGCTGCGAGAAGTGTCAAAAATTATTTGGAATATACTAAAACGTATAAAGGCTGGCCAAATGGCAGCTTTTCTTCACTTGCTTTAAGCGCCTCAAAGTTTGAATTAGGCAAATGTTTTATTTGAAAGCGTTAAGTAGGCTTTTGACAAAGAGGTATGTTCCTTTCAAAATACATAAATTCAAACAAAAATTTGCTTACTTACATAATTTAAAAAAGTCACAGAAAATGCAGGTAATTCGAAATGAAATAAAAATGATTCATTGTTTCCATATTTATATTTAACATATCGTTATCTTATAGTAAAAAGCCCACTTTTACAAATTTTACACGAGAGGAAAAAACTTCTTCTTCAAGTAAATAGCTTTTTTAACTTATAGTTTTTTTAGTAAATGTAGATATAGATATGTATTTATCATTATTATCATTTCTTTTAAATACAAACATTATTTCGCATTAATTTAAAAATAAATCTGAAAGTTTTTGATACATTTTTTAGAGTTTTCTAGGAAATAATTATTAACGTTAAGGGAACAGACATTGACTTTTCAACCAGACAGCTGGTTACTTTGATAGCGTTCCAAGCCACTATTCGGCCAAGCAAGTTTTCAAAGTAAATCAAAGCAAATTGAAGTCAGCAAGGCGCACAAAGCAAGCCTGCTTTGGGCCAGCGCCTTTAGACTTTCTTACTTGTTTTTTTAAACTTCAAATAAAAAAGTTCCATTTTTTTTAACAATTTTTTAAATTTTTGTGCATGTTCCATAAAGTTTGAAACTTGTATTTATTATAACGTAAGAGTGTTTTTATAAAACAAATAACAAGAAAATTTATTTAAAAGATATTAAAAAACCAAGAACTGTACGTATGTAGCTCACTTAGTTATTGGCGGTGGCATTCTAATTATTTGTATGCATTTTGTGAACTATTCTTAGTTACAAAATTATTGCACAATAAACAATAGGTTACATATTTCAATATTTTTCAATTCTTGTTACCATTTATGTACATATATTTTATGTGAACAGCGAAATTTAAGTACATAGTCTGGTAACCATGTCTATTAATTTTAACGTCACTTATACGCCTGCGCGTACTTCAGATTCTTTCACAAGAGAAGAGTGTAATATATCCGTACGGATATATAAAAGCCGTATGCTTTATAGAAGCCTTTAAATTGTAGTTGTGTCAGTTCGTATTTTCAACGCGCCGAGTTTGCAACAGCTTGATAAGCCAACGAGGAAAAGCTATTTGCACATTTCATAAATAGCCAATTATTTAGATTATGCAGTACTTACTACAAGTGTGTGGGAGCTTGAATTGTGATTGAATTGAATTCCGACCTGTGTAGACATAGAATAGTTTAAAATTAAAGATAAATGAATATAAGTATCAATTTAAATAATTTGTATTAACTTGGTGAATGAAAATGTATTGATTACTACCAAACAAGTATAATTCATACTGCGTAGTGCCAATATTTATTCTCTATGCCTTTCATAAAAAAAGGTAGTTGAATTTGCGAAAATCGATGTTGTATATATGTATGTTTGAAAAGGGTTTAATTTTTTCTGCATGAGTTTTCATAACTAAATACATACATAAGTACATACATATGTAGTATGTACATACATACTTATGTATGCAAAGTGATAATGATGCTACATGAACTCGCGTGCAGACGGTCGCCAATGGTCGCGACACCATAAAATATCGACGGTGGGTACTTTTGAGTCTGCCAATTTGTAATGCATTAAGTTTTGTGCTAGCCTCACGCACACACACATTTATGAAAACACATCGATGGGGAAAAAATACTTAAATTTTCCTAAAGTACATCTTTGTGCAGCCGTTGTTTGCGTCACTTCCCCCATTGTCTACNGTACACATCGATGGGGAAAAAATACTTAAATTTTCCTAAGTACATCTTTGTGCAGCCGTTGTTTGCGTCACTTCCCCCATTGTCTACAACTTGTTTTGGCGAATCTGCTCGCCAGGGCGTCGTACGTAGAAAAATCAAAGCAGTTTTGATCGCCAACGCCTCGGCTGGATGGCAGTACTAAAGGACATAAATGCTGAATAAGTGCACAAAAGCAGCGTATAATTGTGCTACAAGCTATTTGGCATCTGGCGATAAATTAGTAATTTGGAAAATGTCAAAGGTGAGTGTGGATAAAATTTTTTAATAAAAGCCCTTTGGCATTAAATATTTATGTGTAGTTACAATATATCCATACATATACATATGTATATGTATCTATGTACATTGGACTGTGCCCAAGAAAACGACTATTTTTTTCTTTCGCTACCGTATGAAAATTTCGTTGTCGGTCACAAACAAAAATTGTGGTAAATTTCAGCCCTCTATCTTTATACATATGTCACTTAGTGCTAGCAAAAAAAGAAAAATTTTCAATTATAAAAATCTGTTCCGCTACTTTTTTATGAACAATTCAATTCTATTAACAAAGTTCAAGTTTCGGGAATTTGTTTTCAAGATATTCCCCATTTTTTTTTCATATAAAAAAGCCGTCAAATATACAAGGAAGAAAAAGACTGAAACCGTCCAACAAAAAAAAAATCTAAAAATCAATGGCAAATCCTAGGTACTTAAAATTTGCACTTTATAATAATAATCCCAACGGTTTTTACCCTCCATTCCCGCCCATCCGCACGAGGGGCGCAGTCCGCATGACGTACGGAACCAGTATTTTCAATTTTTGCGCCGAGTCACGATAGGCAGGGGTTTGTTAAGTGTCGAGATCTAAAACTGTTCAGCTACAGAACTAAATTTATCAGTCGATTTTATGTCTTTAATGATTCATTTATTGAGAGAGGACAGTATCGACTTCTTAATGCTGAAAAGCGGATCTGATATATCAAACGTGTTGGAATGAGCGTTAAAATCCTGGCATAAGCAACGGAGTGGGTCGTGCAATTCAAAATTAGTTTTACAAGCTTTCAGAAATAGGGGAAAAAGTGTCTTGATACCCGGGAGGGAACATTAAGGCTAACTTCGCCCAGAAGATGCGGACTTGAAATTGAGCCTGTTAGTAATCTATATATGTATATAAAATAAGCCGTTAATAAACAAAAAATTATGTCCAGTGTATAGGTTTCAAAATTATCTTATTTTTCCTTCCAAGTAATCAGATGCCGGTTTTTTATGTGGACAGCTTTGAATAAGCTTTTAAGAAAAATGAGGATATCTGTCCAATTGAAAAAATGTCCCATAAATGAGGGCAAGTATGTCCAGGTGTCGCATTGTAAGTTAAATTGAATGAACATTTTTTTCGCTTCTTATTTTCCTGGCCATGTAATTTGACGCTTTTGAATTGAGCTGTATACCTTACTTACTATGATGCCAAAGGTGTCACTTGTGAATTCCCATACAAAGCAAAACAATGCATGCCGGATAGAACAATGCTGTAGAATGACACTTCACTTATTGTTTATGGCCAGTTGAAGTTAAAAGGAAAACTGTGTTCGACATCTCATCCAAATATGTATGCACATACATAAGTATGTATGCAAATATGTACTCGTATGTACATACAATCTACGTTTTCAGTGTACACAGAAACATTATCAAATACGTAAGCGTGTAAATTACTACCACTTTCCTCTCAACTATACACAAGTAGCTACCAGAAAATTTTTTTCATCGTTCTCGTATTTACCTCAGGTTATCACCTTTTTCTAAAACTAAAAAAGTCTCACAATACCACCCGCCACTAACCAATTACTTTTGACGTTGCTTTTTCTTTTTGCCAGCATAGCCATACAAAAGTTACGGAAATTCCCCAAAGGCATGCTTCAACATTTTACTCTTATTTATTCCATTTGTTATGTTTTGTTGATTTCAATAAAATTGCAAAATTGTTATTCAATAAAAAGTATTGGTACAATAAAGGAGAATAAAATTTATTATGCATAACACACAAATGTAGCATAACAAATTTACTTATATATACTTACATAAGTAGGTGAGGCATATTAAGAAACACTGGCTCATGCATATTCATATTAGGAGCCCTCGCAAAAAAATTCTTCTTTACGAATGGAATCATAAATTTGTTTCGTATATTATTCATGTATGTATATTAGAGTGGTACAAAACAAAATTTTCCGAGATGGGGCTTAGGTAATGTGACCGACCGTACTTCTTTCGGAAGTACAGTACTTGTACTTTTTAGCTCTTGTACTTCGTACTTCGCAGTACAGTCAAATGTACTTCTTTGCAATATTTTGTACTTCAGGTCCTGTCCTTCTCCGATCTTCTGGATGATCGTCACATGGCCTGGGCGATAAATTCGTTCAAACCCTTCAAGTCGCCGGGGACTAATGGCATCATACCTGCGCAGCTGCAAAGGGCTCTGGAGGTGTCGTGCAATTGGTTGGCTCATATTTATGTGAATTGCGTGAGGATCGGGTAGTCAGTGTTCGTTCGTCCCGAAGGCCGGAAAAGGCTCTCATGTTTCTCGTAGGGATTTTAGGCCTATCAGTCTGTCTCTTTGCTAAAAATGCTAGAGAGGCTGATGGACCTGTCTGTACATAGGAAACGCGATTCCTCGTGACTGAACATCTTCACAATTCTATTAAATCCCTTCAAAATCAGAAATGAAAAATTAGATATTCTTAAATTTTTTTTGTTTCACTCTAACGAACTTTATAAATTTTGGGAATGACAATAAACAAATCCAAAAGTTTATGATGGCACAAACAACTTTTCCATACAACATATTTACCAAAAACTATTTCTGTTTTTTGTACGTATATTTTTTGTAACACAGTAAAAGTCGCTTTTCCGGTTAATAGTTGTACCTCAGAAATTTTCTGACTTTACTATGGGCACTATGTTATTAAGGATGAAACCATACAAGTACATACTCGATACTTTACGTTCGATACCAAGTAATTTTATTTATTATTGAAAGTAAAAAAAAAAAACAAAGAAGAAAAGAAGAAAAAGAGTCCCAAAAAAATTGATTACAAAAAAAATCTTAAGCAGGGACTTTTACAGTTTTTACAGGACATTTTTTTATTGCTCATTCCTGATTTTTTATCGGATTTAGATGAAATATAGCACTCGGGTCGCTTATAACTCTGGCTAACATGTGGAGTAGTTTGTAGGTCTTTGAAATTCAATTTTCGACGTTAATAGTTAATGTAAAGGGCTCAAATCTTCAGGGATTTTTTTTTTAGTTTTTTCCCACAAAATTTTGAGGCGGGAGTGAAAAAAATAGTCGCGATAAACACCCTAATGTACATATTTCTCAGTATTAAAAACAAAGAAAACAAAAGAAAGTTTGAAGCTGAGTGGCTGACCAATTTTGCATGCAAATTTGCTTTCCAGATGGTTCAGTTTTTTGTGAGATATTCTGCCCCATTATTTTTGCCATGAGTGTAGTTCCTCTTGGCTTGTGTAGTTTTAACCTTTAATTTTGAAATAATTTTTGTCAAATATAAATTAAGTGAAGATAATTTATGTATGTTTAAACTTTTTTCTTTATTGAAAAATATTAGATGAGAAAAAACAGCAACAGCACTGCAAAAAAACTTTTTGGTACTCTGAAAAGCGTTTTGGTACGTTGTTTAGTAGGGGGGAAAAATGGGGATGGCAACACTGGTACATATTTGTAGTTTGCATTTTAAAATATTTTCCCATTCTTCTTTATTCGTAATATCATAAAGTTTTCCTTTACAACACTGACATAAATTTTTTTGGTATTTGCAAATTTCGGATTACCGCAAACGTGACCTTCGCATTGCCCAATTTTGTATACATACTATGTATACCAGTGTTGATATTTGAGATTTTTAAATTGTACTAACTTAACGACAAAAACTGTAACTTTTTGAGCTTAATTCTACTTTTCACCCTTTTTCCCTCAACCACATATACAATATTTTGTTGTCTACTACAGTGAGTTTATCTTTCAGTTCATTGTACAGCTTCAGTTGGTGTAGACTTAATTTAATGTAACTTATCCTTGAGATCTCTCCAGCTAGCCCATAAAATCATGGCCAGTTTTGTAAAAAAGTCCCACTAAGTTAAACTAAGTTTCATTAAGTTTACAGTTTAACTCAAGTATACATAAATTCCACATTTACTACGGCCACCCAGTTTGAGCTATATATGGGTGTTTCCTGAAAAGTGTCAACCAAGACCAAAAAATAGAATTTTGCCTGGTCAAAGTTTATAGTTGCCAATCGATAACTACATATTTTGTCTTTCATCCACCAAAATATTGGACTAATTGGTCCATTCCATTTCAAGATATTTGCGGCTTTTCAACTACACTTTTAATTTTTCTTTTTTTCGGAGAAACCATACCTTCCAGAAATCCTTCATAATTGTAGCATACGATTAAAAAGAATTGGAAATCTATACGAAAATTTAGTACAGCTTATGTTCTGTAAGCCTTACAACAAAAACAATGTAAAAATATATTAGGAACCGTCCAAAGTTAAATTACAAATTGTGCTTTTTTTCAAGCGTTCGGACACAAAAAATACTTTAGATGTAAAAAAAAGAGTCGTAACGTTTACTTCATTTGTCAAAATTTTAATACAAAAGCTAGTTTTGGTTACTCTTGCCAGTCGCATAAATTTTTTTTCGGAAAGCTATAGGATTATCGATTCTAAGTATATTGAAAATCGGAACGTCCAAACGCTTCATATAACTCTTTTTCATATTGTTCTATGTAGGTACTGTTACTCACAAAATTGAGTATACGGGTTTTTTTTTGTTAGTACTTGCAAAATTTTTTCGTTAATTTGTTATTAAAATATGGGTTATATTTTAGCGAATCCCACTTAAATCCAAGTATGAAGCTGTGTACGAAAATTATGAAAAATCTGCAAAGTTTCAGAAAAATTGCAATCTGTTTAACAAGAATTTCTAAAAAAAATCGGGTATGTATGTAGTTTTATATTCCGTCTAAAAAAAATCAGGTATGCAGTTTTATAGTCCATTCAGTTTTAGTACAATAATGTGCAAATTTCAAATGTATAAACAATTCTCAAAAATCATCGCGAATTTTGAGACATTTGAAATTTGCACATTATTATACTAAAACTGAATGGACTATAAAACTGCGTACCTGATTTTTTTAGAAACTCGTGTTAAAAAGTTTGCTTTGCAGATTTTTCATAATTT